GGAATTCACTTCATAGCAAATGAAGTGTGGCAGTGAGCCCATCCTTGCGGAGTGCATTGTTTCGATCCTGTTCCCCATTACCTTGACATATTTGGATTGATAGAAAGTGGACTGGCCCTTTGAAAATTCAGTTACCTTACCTGGTAGGTGGCAGTATCTTGTTGAGCTGTGGCAGTGTTCTCATAGATACTGTATATGATTTAAATCAGTGCTCAGAATATGGTGTCCATAACCAGGCTTCACAAGATCAGGAATCCAGGGGTAGAAATTTGAGTGGCTCCACTTACTACTTCTAGTGTTCCAATAGCAAATATTTTGCTTCCTGTCTCCATGAGCAGGCTCTAAAGAGACCTTAATTCCAAGGGGATGAATGATTTCATCAGAAAACACAACAATGATTCCATTGAACTTGAACTTGATATTTCAGACTGGGCACTTGATGTCTTCTACTTCTGAATGAATAGTCAAAGAAGGGGGTTATTTTACTGGTTGGGGTAATTGATTCCGATAACAAACAATTGAGTTGCCACAGCACAGTGGAGGTAAACAAGAGTACGTCTGGAATGCAAGAGATCACTTAGGGGTCTCTTAAAAGCACCATGTCTAATGATCAAAAACCAGTGGAAAAATACAACACAGTTCAAGCAGGACTGTTGATGTCTCAACCTTGAAGAATGAAAATTTGGTTCATCCTGCTAGGAAAAGAACCACAAATAACTGAGGTGTTTGCTGAGGGCAAGGGGAATATGGAATGGGTAGTGAATGATGATAGCTGTAGATCATTACATCAGTTCCAGAAATGATGACTGTAATACTTATAAACATTCATTGTTTTGTTATATTTTCACATACTCACAAAATATTGACTTTCTTTTTATCCCCCGTTTTATTGAGAAATGATTGACATACATCACTGTGTAAGTTTAAGTGATACAGTATGATGGTATGATTTACATATATTGTGAAATGATTACCACGGTAGGTTTGGCTAACGTCCATATTCTCATGTAAATAAAAAGAAGGGGAGCCTGGGTGGCTCAGTTGGTTAAGCATCCGACTTTGGCTCAGGTCATGATCTCATAGCTCGTGAGTTCAAGCCCCACGTCGGGCTCTGTGCTGACAGTTCAGAGTCGAGCCTGCTTCAGATTCTGTGTCTCATCTGCCCCTCCCCCGCTTGCACTCTGTGTGTGTCTCTCTCACTCAAAAATAAACAACAACAACAAAAAGAAAACATTTTCATCTTGTGATGAGAACTCTTAGGATTTACTCTCACGAAGTTTCCTATATATTATATGACAGTGCTCACTGTAGTCATCACGTTGTACATTACATCCCTAGTACTTACTTATCTTATAGCTGGAAGTTTGTACCTTTTGACCACTTTCCCCCAATTCCCCTTCCCCCCCACCCTCTGCCTTTGGTAACCACAGTCTATGAGTTTGTTTCTTCTGTGAGTTTGTTTTTTTGTTTGTGTTTTAGATCCCACATATAAGTGAACTTATGCAGTATTTGTCTTTCTCTGACTTTTCATTTAGCATAATGTCTTCAAGTTCTATCCATATGGTTGCAAATGGCAGGATTTCATCATTTCTTTTTATGGCTGAATAATATTCCATCGTAAATATATACAAAAGCTTCTTTATCCATTCACTCATTGATGCAAACTGAGGTTGTTTCCTTGTGTTGGCTATTGTGAATGCTGCTGCTGCTGCTGCTGCTACAAACACGGGGGTGCCGATATCTTTTCAAATCAGTGTTTTAATTCCTTTAGATATATTCCCAGAAGTGGAATTGCTGAATCCTACAGTAGTTCTATTTTTAATTTTCTGAGGATCCTCTGTACTGTTTTCCACAGTAGCTGTATCAATTTACAGTCGAACCAGCAGTGCACAAGTGTTGTCTTTTCTCCACATCCATAACATCATTTGTTATCCCTTGTCTTTTTGATGATGGCTGTTCTAACAGGGATGAAATGATACCTCCGTTGTGGTTTTAAGTTGCATTTCACTAATGACTAGTGAAGTGGAGCATTTTTTCATGTACCTGTTGTTCTTTTGTATATCTTCTTTGGAGAAGTGTCTACTTATGTCCTCTGCCCATTTTAACTAGATTATTTGTGAGAGGGGTTGTTTTGCTGTTGAGTTGTTTGAGTTCTTATATATTTTGGATATTAGCCTCTTATCAGATACATGGTTTGCAAATATTTTTCCTCATCCCATAGGTTGTAATTTACCTTTGTGGATGATTTCTTTTGCTCTGCAGAAGCTTGTAAGTTTGATGTAGTCTCGCTTGTTTACTTTTTATTTTGTTTCTTGTGCTTTAGGTGTCATATCCAATAAATCATTACTAAGGGCCATGTTGAGATTTATTCCTGTTTTCTTTTAGGAATTTCTTACATTTAAGTCTTTCAATTCATTTTTAGTTAATCTTTGTGAATGGTATAAGATTTGGGTCCAGTTTCATTCTTTTGAATGTAAATATCGAATTATCCCAGCACCATTTATTGAAAAGAGAGTCTTCTCCATTGAGTGTTCTTGACTCCCTTTTCAAATATTCGTTGACTGTATATGCTTGGATTTATTTCTGGGCTATCAATTCTGTCCCATTGGTATTAGTTTTTGTGCCAGTACCATACTGTTTTGATGACTATAACTTTATAGTATAGTTTGAAATCAGGACGTGTGATGCCTCCTGCTTTGTTCTTTCTCAGGATTTATTTGGCTATTGGGGGTCTTTTGTGGTGCTATGCAAATTTTTGGACTGTTTTTCCTACTTCTGTGAAAAAAAAAAAAGCTGCCATTGGAATCTTGATGGGGATCTCATTGAATCTATAGATGCTTTTGGTAGTCTTGATATTTTAACAGTATCAATTCTTCCAGTCTATGAACAGGGATACTTTTCCATTTATTTGTAACCTATCAGAATAGGGCCCCACTCTAATGACCTATTTAATTGCCTTCTTAAAGAGCCTATCTCCAAATACAGTCATATTGGGGTTTAAGGCATCAGTATGCATGGGCAGGGGGCACAAACCAGTCCATAGTATCTTGAGAGTGGGAAATAGTTTCAAACAGACCAACCTCTCTTTTTGATTGAGATATAATTCACATACCTGAATATTCACACTTGTAAGATGTATAATTGCATGATTTTTGGTATATTCACAAAGATATAAACTATCACCACTGTCTCATTCCAGAGCTTTTTCATCAGCCCACCAACCCCTCCACCCACCCACCCACCCCCCATCCATTAGCATTCATTCTCCACTCCCAATGAACAAGTCCCTGGTAATAACTAATCAAATTTCTTCCTCTATGGATTGATGTATTATGCACATTTCATATAAATGGGATCATAAAACACATTGTTTATTGTGTCTAGCTTCTTCCACTAAGCATGTTTTCAAGGTCAATCCTTGACTGAATCAGTATTTCATTTTTTAATTGCAGAGTAAGATCCCATTGTATAAATGTATCACATTTTATTTACCTAGTCATCAGTTGCTGGATATTTGGATTGTTTCTACAATTTGGCTATTATCAATAATGCTGCTATAAACATTTTTGTACAACTGTTGGCATATGATTCATTTCTCTTGGGTATATACCTGGGAGCGGAATTTCTGTGTCATAGACCCAATCTTTTTAAAGGTCAGTTTTGCTGATACCCGGCTAGGGCTGACATCATAGATAAATAAAGATACTCATGGCTGTGCAGCTTATAAGACTATGTGTGCTTAAAGAGGTGAGAACATCAGTTAGAAAAAAGGAGACTGTATCGCTCTTAGGTCCAAGTAGGTGGGGTCAGGCCCTGTGCCTCAGGAGGGCCTACAGTATGCAGTGCCCAAATTTTTCATGTTGCCCTCTGCTGCCTGAGTCTGGTTATGACTGGTAGTGTTACCCAGTTAGGGTGTCTGGAGCCTGGATCTGAACCTGTGTGTGTCCAATCTGGTTTCTCCTTCTGGGGTTGTCTCTGGTCTTTATCCCATTTGAGTGGTCTATCAGATACCCCAGGAAACTTCCAAGACTGGTGCCCATGAGGTTGTGTCGAGGGGCCTTGGTGCTTGCTTCTCTGTGGCACAATATTTTAAGCCGTCACATGATGAGTGTACTGCCAGAATGGAGGGGACTCACGGATTCTGGCACTCATGATTCAGGCCCATATGGAAGAGTAATAAAGAATCAGTCAAGGGGCGCCTGGGTGGCGCAGTCGGTTAAGCGTCCGACTTCAGCTCAGGTCACGATCTCACAGTCCGTGAGTTCGAGCCCCGCGTCGGGCTCTGGGCTGATGGCTCAGAGCCTGGAGCCTGTTTCCGATTCTGTGTCTCCCTCTCTCTCTGCCCCTCCCCCCGTTCATGCTCTGTCTCTCTCTGTCCCCAAAATAAATAAACATTGAAAAAAAAATTAAAAAAAAAAAAAAAAGAATCAGTCAAATTACCATAACGGTCTTGGGCCCAGGAATTTTGTAGTACAGTTTTAAAAGTATTTTTATCAACAGTTCTGCTGTGTAGATTTCCAAACGCGCAGCTTCTTAAGCCTTCACCTTGTGCATTCTTCAGAGTATCTGAAGTTCACCACTGCAACTGAACTGAACTTTCCAATGATATATTAGACATATATATCATTTATATATTCCTATATCATATATATATATACATATATATATATATATTTGATATATTTGGATAACAGCTAGGTTTAGTGTTATAGTAGAGACAAAACTAACAGCAGCTTAAATAACCTAGAATATTTTCTGCTGCCGGATTTCGGAGAGGTTAATTCTTGCCCCCACTGTGGGAACCCACGTTACTACTGCCCTTGAAGTCGACAGTGTGAACTCCGCCCCCATGACCACTGTGGGAACTATACTGCCGAATCTCTCAGGAGGGGCAAGCACTTCCGGCCAAAGAGGGTGGGAATGGGACGGTGGTTCCCTGGCTTTCTGGGAAGTGTAGTCCGGAAGTCCCGTAGACAGTCGTACACTTCCCCAGGGCCGTCTGGAAACATGAATTCTGGGTAGTTGATCCTCCCGCAGCCTGGGGCGGGGCGGTCTCAGGCACTTCCGCTCGGGTGGCCAGGTTGCTACAGGCTCTTCTGTCGCTTTGGTGAGTGGGTTCTGGTTTCGAGACCCGTCTGAACTTCCCTGGGTGCCAGTACCACCGGCCATTGATTTGGGGAAAAGAGCTGCGTCAGACAGCGGTGGTTTGAGGACTGGAGTGGTGTTTCCCTCCCCAGGGACCCTCTTGGCGTTTGGGGATCTTGTGCTGTGCATGGCCCGGGGGGGGGGGGGGGGGGGCCCCCCCCTCCCGGGCTCTCTGCCTACGGTCCTGCCCCCCACCCCAGGGCAGCCCACCTTTCCCTCGCTCCGCCTTTTCACTCGGTTGAACATTGGGGGACTTAACATCTGTGTCCAATTTTTTTTTTTTTTTTTTGTAACATTGGGGTGACTTTCCTACCTTCCTATAATACAGCGGTTTGAGAATTAAACAAATGGGTTAAGTAAAGCCTTAAAGACAGTTCCTGCCACGTGGTGAATGGGGATCTCTTGGTATTAGACTCTTTAATTTTTTTAAGTGCTTAGTAACCTGAAAGCCATGAATATCGGATGGAGTGAAAGCTTCAGCTGCAGTGACCCCTGTCATTTCTCTTTGATCCCAATTGTTAGCTTCATAGTCCCCAGCCCCTTCTGAAGAGTTACTCCTGTGAAAGTTAGTGAGAAAACCTCCTTTAGGATGGCGTCCGAGGCTGGCAGGGAGAGCCCTGGCGCACACCCTATCGCTCTTGTCAATTGTAAGAGACCCAATTGGAAGGCCCTATTGGAAGAGACCACCTTGCAGGCTGATAACTACCGTAGCTCTTCGATGCTATCCCAGAGGGAACCAGAATGGCTTTCCTCCCCCAGCTCCGCATCAGCCCAACCAGTGAAAGATTGTCAAAACTCAGCCAATGAAAAGCCACCATATTTCCAAGTCCCGGTTAATCCAATGGGCTTTTTGTTTATGACAGCCTGCCCAGTTTCTCCCTTTCCTCTGCAAAAGAGTGGGTTTCTCCTTTGTTCTGCGGACTTGCCTGTGGTTTTGCCATATCCTGCTCGTCCTGGATTGCAGTTCTCTACTATTCCAGTAAAATAACTGGCAGTTTTATTTTTAAGGTTAACATTCCCAAACCGTTTCTGGCTGAAAGTAGGGGGTCTGGAGGAGGGCAGAATATCTCATGATTTCTCAGGGACAGAGACATAATTGTGGCATTTCAGAGCCTCCTCTCTTTCCTTGGTTTTTGTCGCAAAAAAAAAAAAAAAAAATTGTGTTTCTCGCTGCACCATTGTGGTTATGTCTAAAAATTGCTGATACTTTTGGAGTTACGTATGATGAGTTGAAGACACCAACACCTAGCTGCTGCCAGCTGTCAACTGTCCTTGCCCCCTTTTTTTTCCTTCACGCATCTCTTTTTTTCAAGAATTGGGGATTATGCTGTAGAAAATACTTCTTCGTCCCTAAATATTTGTATTGTTAGCAAAAATTCAACTGAGTAAACGTGAAGACTTCATTGGCTTTATTAAGCGGTTCATAAATTGGGTGGCATCCCATAAAACAAGTAGGAGGGATCTCCCAGGAGTTGTACAGAATGGAAGGTTTTTATGGGAAGGAGGGTGGGGCAAGGAAGTTATTAGCAAGTGGAAACAAAGGATTGTTCTGGGCACGGTCACTTTCCCTTAGAGGGAAGAGCAGGGGATCTTATGCATCTTGCGGGGATGGAGAGGGTCTGTGTGACAGATTACTCAGCTGGTGCTTATCGGAGAATTTCTGAGTTTCTGGGGAAGTCTGAAACTGCAATTAGGTTAGGCATTAAGCCCCAGTTTGGTCACTTGGCCTAAGTGACAGCGTTTTAGGGCTGTGTTTTTCTTTTTTTTTTTTTTTTAATTTTTTTTCAACGTTTATTTATTTTTGGGACAGAGAGAGACAGAGCATGAACGGGGGAGGGGCAGAGAGAGAGGGAGACACAGAATCGGAAACAGGCTCCAGGCTCCGAGCCATCAGCCCAGAGCCCGACGCGGGGCTCGAACCCATGGACCGCGAGATCGTGACCTGAGCTGAAGTCGGACGCTTAACCGACTGCGCCACCCAGGCGCCCCTGTGTTTTTCTTTTAAACAGTGTCTATTTTCTACGAACAAGGATATTCTCTCCTATACTCACAGGGTCAAAATCAGAAAATGACATTGTTAATATGCTGTTATCTAAGTCACAGTCCATATTTAAATTTGTGCTGTTTTTTTTTTTTTAATTTTTAAAATATTTTTTGAGAGCAAGAGTGCAGGCTGGGGAGGGGCAGAGAGAGAGAGAGGGAAACACTCTTTAATTGACTCCTTTAATCTGGAATGATTCCTTCATTTTGATCATGATGTTTTTGTTCACGATGTGTAAACACACTGTATTGGAGAAAGTCCATCTTGTGAATTGTGAAGTTTGTGTGATAGATTTCATGGTTTGATTCAAGTTTTTATTTCAATTACAGCTACTTAACATACAGTATAATATTAGTTTCAGGAATAGAATTCAGTGATTCATCACTTACATACGACACCCAATGCTCATCACAAAAAGTGCCCTCCCTGGGACGCCTGGGTGGCTCCATCGGTTAAGCATCCGACTTCGGCTCAGGTCATGATCTCGCAGTTTGTGGGTTCGAGCCCCTCATCAGGCTCTGTGCTGACAGCTTGGAGCCTGGAGACTGCTTTGGAGTCTGTGTCTCTCCATCTCCCGGCCCCTCCCCTGCTCATGCTCTGTGTCTCTGTCTCTCAATAATAAGTAAATGTTAAAAAAAAATTTTTTTAAAGAAAAGTGCCCTCCCTAATACTCATCACCCACTTAACACATCCTGCCATTCACCTCCCCTCCAGCAACCCTCAGTTTGTTTTCCAGTTAAGAGTCTCTTTTATAATTTGCCTGTCTCTCTTTTTCCCCATGTTCATCTGTTTTGTTTCTTAAATTCCACACTGAGTGAAATCATATGGTATTTGTCTTTCCCTGAGTGGCTTAATTCACTTAGTGTAATACACTCTAGCTCTATCCATGTCATTGCAAATGGCAAGATTTCATTCTTTTTGATGGCTGAGTAATATTCCATCATATATATATATATATATATATATATATATACACACACACACACACACACACACACACACACACATATATATCCATTATATATATATATATATATAGAGAGAGAGAGAGAGAGAGAGAGAGAACATCTTCTTTATCCATTCATCCATTCTTTTACATTTGGGCTCTTTCTATACTTCGGCTATTGTTGATAATGCTGCTATAAACATCGGGGTGGAGTAAATACCTAGTAGTGCAATTGCTGGGTCATAGGGTAGTTCTATTTTTTCTTTAATTTTTTTAAGGTTTATCTATTTTTGAGAGAGAGACAGAGACCGAACATGAGCAGGGGAGGGGCAGAGAGAGATGGAGACACAGAATCTGAAACAGGCTCCAGGCTCTGAGCTGTTATCACAGAGCCTGACATGGGGCTCAAATTCACAAGCTGTGAGATCGTGACTCGAGCTGAAGTCGGACGCTTAAGTGACTGAGCCATCTAGTCACCCCAGTTCTATTTTTTCATGTTTATTTATTTTTGAGAAAGTGAGAGAGAGCGAGAAAGCACAAGCGGGGGAAGTGCAGAGAGAGAGGGAGTCAGAGGATCTGAAGCAGGCTCTTTGCTGACAACAGAGGGCCCAATGCGGGGCTCAAACTCAAGAACCATGAGATCACAGCCTGAGCCGAAGTCAGACGCTTGAACAACTGAGCCACCTGGGCACCCCAATAGTTCTATTTTTAACTTTTGAGGAACCTTTATACTGTTTTCCAGAGTGGCTGCACCAGTTTGCAGTCCCACCGACCATGTAAGAGGGTTCCCCTTTCTCCGCATCCTCTCCAACACCCGTTATTTCCTGTGTTGTTCATTTTAGCCATCGGACAGATGTTAGGTGGTATCTCATTGTAGTTTTGACTTGTATTTTTCCTAATGATGAGTGACATTGAGAATCTTTTCATGTGTCTGTTAGCCATCTATAGGTCTTTTTTGGAAAAATGTCTGTTCATGTCTTTTGACCATTTTTTAACTGGATTATCTGTTAAGTCCATCTGGTCAGTGTTTCATTCAAAACCATTGCTTCCTTGTTGATTTTCTGCCTAAATGATTTGTCCATTGATGGAAGGGGAGTATTAAAGTCCCCCACCATTATTGTATTATTATCAATGAATTCCTTTATGTTTGTTATTAATTGTTTTATATATTTGGGTGCTTCCATGTTATGGGGGAAAACAATTTAAAAATTATTGTTCAGCTAACACAATATTAGGGAAGACAATGAAGCAGAGTTAACCGATTTTTCAAAGGTTATGAGTGACCTCAGAATAGTCCATGTCAGATTTGGATATCGTACAGTGTCTTTTGGTAGAACATCATATTTGTAAGAGAAATTTCACATTACAGAATGTCATCTTTTTCAATATTAGCTACAAAAATAAGAAACTCTGAGTGTATTCAAAGTGTTCTCCAGCTCTCAACAGCTCTAAGATTTGGAAATATTATTCTCCCATTTGTACAGATGACAAAATTGAGGGAAAGAGACGTTATTAAATTACCCAAGATGATACAACTAGTGAGAAGCGGAGGTAGAATTTGAACCCAGATATGATCGCCCCAGAGATGATTCTTAAGTGTTTTTTTTTTTTTTTTAGCATTTATTTATTTTTGAGCAATAGGGATAGAGCATGAGCAGAAGAGAGGCAGAGAGGGAGGGAGACACAGAATCCAAAGCAGACTCTAGGCTCTGAGCTGTCAGCACAGAGCCCGACACAGGGCTTGAACCCATGAACTGCGAGATCATGACCCGAGCCAAAGTCAGACGCTTAACCCACTGAGCCACCCAGGTGTTCTGCCCCAGAGATGATTCTTGTTGGGTGCATTATGTTGTCTCAATTTCCATCATATCAGAATCTCAGCTGCCACCTTGGAAGCCACAAGATGACACAAGTCAACACACCAAGTCAACACACAACAGTGAATGTGCGTGGGGGGCAGGAATGGAGTATCCGTGCCCTGATCTGCTCTTCAAGTTGTGTATGGCAGGAGCCACCTCAAGAAAGGGGCTCCTGGGTAATTCACAATAAGCATTCATGTGGGTGAGCATCGTCCCTGGTCACCCATTCATGTCCTTTTCTGCCTTTTCCAGACACTACCAGGCACAGATCTGCCTCAGCAGGACTCTATTCCCAGAATCTGTACATCTCCAGAAGTAGCAAGAGAAAATGACCACATTCAAGGTGCATATGGCTTCCCTTTCTTCCTGGTAAAATTCCATTTCACCCCTCAAAGTGTTACACATTTGTGTCTTTTCCTCGGTGACTCAAGGAGAGCACCAGGCTAAATGACCTGTTTGTTTTTTGTTTTTTTGTTTTTTTTTGTTTTTGGTTTTTGGTTTTTGGTTTTTGTTAGCATTTGTTTTATTTTGCCATTATTCATTTTACTTGAAAACAAGTGTGGACAAATTAGTAGGAATGCTTGCTTCACTGCTGACACATTAACTATTTTTTTTTTTTTCAACGTTTATTTATTTTTGGGACAGAGAGAGACAGAGCATGAACGGGGGAGGGGCAGAGAGAGAGAGGGAGACACAGAATCGGAAACAGGCTCCAGGCTCTGAGCCATCAGCCCAGAGCCCGACACGGGGCTCGAACTCATGGACCGCGAGATCGTGACCTGGCTGAAGTCGGACGCTCAACCGACTGCGCCACCCAGGCGCCCCCACATTAACTATTTTTATTTCCCCATACTCTTTCTTGTGCACATTCATAGATTTATTCGCGTTCATGATATACATCTAATGCTGACTTGTGTCTTTTTCATTTAGCATTATATAACAGCCATTATTTATAGTTGCTTCTAGACATTAAGGTGGCTTAGGAGTTTGTTGTAAGGCACACTGCATTGATCATTTTCCTGCCTGCAGGTTTTTCTCCAAAAAATCAATTCTCCGAACACGCTGCCTATTTTTTATCCTCAGTGTACTAAGAACTCAGTAACGAAAGAGTACACATGATACATGCCGTGTTAGGATTTTGTAGACAGATATTCAAATACAGCATAGTGCAACAGGCTCTAACCACTGCTTTATGCAAATATTGTTGGAGATTTTCACACAGGAAGAGCTAGATTCTGTCTTTCCCGTGTCTGAGTCACACTGCATGTCTCTTATTACTTACTGGTGTACTTAAAAAATTTTTTTTGGGTGGGGGGCTCCTGTGTGGCTCTGTCAGTTAAGCATCTGACTTCAGCTCAAGTCATGATCTCATGGTTTGTGAGTTTAAGCCCCGCCTTGGGCTCTGTGCTGACAGCTCAGAGCCTGGAGCCTGCTTCAGAGTTTGTGTCTCCCTCTCTCTCTGCACCTCCCCTGCTCATGCTCTGTTTCTCTCTCAAAAATAAATAAACATTAAAAAAAAAAAAAGAAGAAACTTAAAAAAATTTTTTTGAAACTTTTTATTATCTTTATTTGTTATTATTTAATTATTTTGAGAGAAGGAGAGGGAGGGGCAGAGAAAGGGGGAGAGAGAGAGAATCCCAAGCAAGTTCTGCACAGTCAGCACAGAGCCCGATGTAGGGCTTGAACCCATGAATGGTTAAGATCATGACCTGAGCCAAAAGCAAGAGTCAGACACTTAACCAACTGAGCCATCCAGGCACCCCTGGTCTACTTTTATTCCTTCACGTATTGATGAGTTTTTTCAAAATAACATATAACCTTAGGTTTGTATATGTGTTTTTCAATAATAGATTTTATTTTTTTAGGGCAGTTGAGCATTGACAGTAAAATCCAGCAGAAAGTACAGAGATTGCCCGTGTACCCCCTGCCCCCACACACCCACAATCCCTCCCATTGTCAACATCCCCCACCAGAGTGGTGCACTGTTACAGTCGATGAACCTGTATTGGGACATCATTATCACCCAGTCCCTAGATTACATTAAGATTCACTCTTGATGTTGTTCTTTCTGTCGGTTGGGACTTTATAATGATATGGCCCCACCATTATAGTATCATACAGAGTAGTTTCACTGCTCTAAAAAATCCTGTGTTGCACCTATATACCCCTCCCTTTCCCTAACCCCTGGCAACCACTGATCTCTTTACAGTCTCCACAGTTTTACCTTTTCCAGAATGTTATATGGTTGGAATTGTACAGTATATAACCTTTCAGATTGGCTGCTTTTACTTAGTAATATGAATTTAAGGTAAAAACATATCTTTTTTTTTGTGGCTTAATAGTTGTTTTTTTCCCCCTTAAATTATATTCTGGTGTTGGGCACCTGGGTGGCTCAGTCAGTTGGTTGAGCATCTGACTTCGGCTCAGGTCATGATCTCACGGTTCATGGGTTCAGGCCCTGCATCGGGCTCTGTGCTGACAGCTTGGAGCCTGGAGCCCATTTTGGATTCTGTGTCTCCCTCTCTCTCTGCCTCTATCTCTCAAAAATGAATAAATATTAAAAAAAATTTTTTTAATTATATTCTGGTATGGATGTGCATAGTTTATTCATTCACCACCTAAGGGACATCTTGCTTGCCTCCAGCTATAAACTAAGGTATAACTTTAGTTTAAAATATCCAGTCTTGGGCCGCCTGGGTGGCGCAGTCGGTTAAGCGTCCGACTTCAGCCAGGTCACGATCTCGCGGTCCGTGAGTTCGAGCCCCGCGTCGGGCTCTGGGCTGATGGCTCAGAGCCTGGAGCCTGTTTCCGATTCTGTGTCTCCCTCTCTCTCTGCCCCTCCCCCGTTCATGCTCTGTCTCTCTCTGTCCCAAAAATAAATAAACGTTGAAAAAAAATAAAAAATAAAAAAAATAAAATAAAATATCCAGTCTTGCTGGATTTGCCAGGCACTTAGTTCTGTCTCTGCATTTACTCCTCAGAGCTGTTGTATAAGGAGGTTCTTGATTGCATCTTCCACTTACATATATAAAATATAGGAAACCTGCTCAGGTTCACACAGGAAACCAATGGTCAAGAACATTAGCCATTCCGTTGAGTAAAAGTGACAGATAAGAAGATAGTATCTCAGCGCTATCCCTCACAGTGAAGGTTGGTTGTAAGATTGAGGTTATATGTGCTTGGTGTTGTAGGAGGTAGTGACATTCAAGGACGTGGCTGTGGTCTTCACGGAGGAGGAGCTGGGGCTGCTGGACCCCACCCAGAGGAAGCTGTACCGAGAAGTGATGCTGGAGAACTTCGGGAACCTGGTCTCTGTGGGTGAGGACATGAGCTCTCTGTAACTGAATGTTAGTCTCCAGGAGTAGCTTTGTATCCGTGGGTTTTTGAGGCTTTGGGGCGCTTGAAATGGTTCTCTGAGTTTGGGGATATGACTGTCCTAATATATATGGGACACACAGCATTGTTTTGTTTTGTTTTGTTTTGTTTTGTTTTGATCAACAGGCAAGTTTTTGTTTTATTGAAGAACTAAATGAACGGTATACAGCTCTACTCTTTGTATTTCTGACCCTATCATGAGTTATAAAACCAGTACAGGGAGCCCTATTATCAACTTTTAATGAAATAAACAAACGAGATGTTAGCAAGCTTCTCCCACTCTTCCAAAACATTGAAGAAGAGTATTTCTTAACATATATGTGTAGGAGACTTGGCAAATGATATTTCTTCAAATGGGTCATGAAAAAAGAAAGTTTGAAAAATGCTGCTTCTGAATGCTTGAAGAATATGTAGTGGGAACCTAATTCTCCAGTGAATTTTACCTACAACACGTATGACTTTGTGTGCTCGCAGGGCATCAACCATTCAAACGAGATATGGTCTACTTGGTAAGGGAAGGAAAGTTTTGGATGATGAAGTTAGCAACCCAAGGAAAAGGCAATTCAGGTAAGATCCAAGTAACTGTGAGTCGTGGAGGCAACTCAACCATCTCTTTCACATTTTTCCATGCTCATTTCCATCGCCTTGTTCTAAACCGGCAAACCTCTTTCCTGGATTATTACAACAGCCTTTTTTTTTTTTTTTTTTTTTTTTTTTAATTTTTTTTTTCAACGTTTATTTATTTTTGGGACAGAGAGAGACAGAGCATGAACGGGGGAGGGGCAGAGAGAGAGGGAGACACAGAATCAGAAACAGGCTCCAGGCTCTGAGCCATCCGCCCAGAGCAGGACGCGGGGCTCGAACTCACGGACCGCGAGATCGTGACCTGGCTGAAGTCGGACGCTTAACCGACTGCGCCACCCAGGCGCCCCACAACAGCCTTTTTATGGGTTGTCCTGCTTCCACACTTCCCATCCTACATGTGTTATCCACGGGAGCAGCCAAAGTGATCCTTTGGAAGTGTACACGAGATTGCCATTCCTCTGTTCAAAATCCATTATGGCTTCTTTTTTCCCCCCTTAAAGTTAAAACCACTTAAAGTGGCTCTTTTTTTTTTTTTTTAATTAAAAAAAATTTTTTTAATGTTTATTTTTTTTGAGAGAGAGAGAAAGACAGAGCTTGAGGTGGGGAGGGGCAGAGAGAGAGGGAGACACAGAATCCGAAGCAGGCTCCAGGCTCCGAGCTGTCTGCACAGAGCCCGATGCGGGGCACGAACCCACGAACCGTGAGATCATGACCTGGAGTGACATCAGGTGCTCAACCGACTAATCCACCCACGTGCCCCTAAAGTGGCTCTCAGAGTCCTCCCTGGTCTGTTCTGCATCCCCACTCTCTCTCCTTTGAATACATTTCCTGTTCTCTCTCCGTTTTTCTTTCTTTCTCAAGATTTAAAAAATTTTTTTTAATTTTTTTATTTTTTTAACGTTTATTTACTTTTGAGAGAGAGAGAGGGACAGAGCACGAGCAGGGGAGGGGCAGAGAGAAAGGGAGACACAGAATCTAAAACAGGCTCCAGGCTGTGAGC